ATAATTTAAAATGGTTTTATTGATATAAGAAGACTACTACGCAGTGAATGAATGAATGGCTATGGTCGACAAGCAAAAGGATAGTGGGAATGACAACAAAGGCGGTAAAACAGTAGAATAAAATAGAGAAGGAGATAGAAAATTGAAAAGGAACGACCAAGTGGAAGAAACAAAGTCGCAGGAAACTGCAAACTAGATGGATATGTCTTCCGAGGAAATTAAAATGGATTATATATGGATTATATATGGATTCTTCGATCTTATTTCTCCTTTTTATTTCTTCACTCTACATCTGCTACCTCTATTCTCCAATTTGCTTGCAACGTTTACGTCTGCTAACTATATATATACCTATAAATAATATTTATCACGCTAAATTCAGAATTACAAATTTTTAACATTTAAAAATCAATAAACAATTATATTCTTACTTTTATTATATTTTTACAGTTAAATGAAAAAAGATATCAAAATTAAAAAATTTTAATTAAAAGATTTTATTATATATAAAACATGATTAATTAACAAATAATGCAAATTTAATTAATTTATATTATTTTCAGTATATAATAATTTATCAAAATGTCACCGAAATCTTATGTTATCATTTCTTTGTCAAATATTAAACATAATTAAATTGAGATATGTGACACGTTTCGGTAATTCGTGTCTGCAATTTAAATTCCAAATTAACCCAGTAGCAAACATTTTAATTTCTTTTAAAAGCAACAAGACATGTTATCAATTCTACTTCCAGAGATATACCATAGAACATCGAAAGTGTACATGAGAAGGAACGACGAGGGAAGAAGTACTAGGTCGGTAGCCACAATTCTGGAAAGCCCAACTCCGCCGCCCGAGGAAGGTCGGGACACGGAGTCGACCATGATGTATGCTCCTCTTCCGTCTAATTAAACTTAGGGAGGGTCGCAGAGTTGGTTGGTGCGCCGGTTGTACGGACGGACGTATGTATGGTCGGACTGACAGCGAGGGGAGGTCGGCGGATGGCTTTCAAAATGACAACCGTAGAGAGCAAGAGCAAGAGCAAACGCGAAAGAGAGAGAGAGAGAGAGAGAGAGAGAGAGAAGAACGGAAGAAAGATCCGTGTCTCCTTGCGAACGCATGAAACGGTACTTATAACGAGAGTGGGATCACCATTGACTTCCTCTCAGGAGACTCGATGCACTTAGCTTCTATTACATTATTCATACGCGGCGATAAACAATCCGATAAAAAAAGAAGACGCAACCACGCTGGACGTTCGTGCCGTACGAAACTTTTATCGAGCATTGGCAAGCGTCGCGATTTTCGAAAATATCGCCGAGTCAGCGTAACGCAGCAAAACATGCGAGCTCGTGTGGGGATCTACGCCAACGAATACATAAACTTGCTTTTAGGAAATTCCATTAATCTCCAGTTGCACTCCGGTGCCGTATACACGAAGTCCGTTTTGTGCGATACATCGATTGTTTGAGCGATACTGTTTTCTTCTTTCTTATACACCATAGAATAGTAACAAACACTAGCCTCTCTCTTTCTCTCTCTCTCTCTCTC